CCGTCCTGGGTGACCAAGAGAGGTCACGCAGGACCCCGGCTCGTCCTGGGTGACCAAGCGAGGTCACGCAGGACCCCCGCCCGTCCTGGGTGACCAAGAGAGGTCCCGCAGGACCCCGGCCCGTCCTGGGTGACCAAGTGAGGTCACGCAGGACCCCGGCCCCTCCTGGGTGACCAAGTGAGGTCACGCAGGACCCCCGCCCGTCCTGGATGACCAAGTGATGTCACGCAAGACCTCGGCCCGGCCTGGACGACCAGGCCCTTTAGCCTCCCGAAGCCTCAGTGTTTTAGCTGCACAGAGAGAACCGGGAACCTGCGCGGGCCTCGCTCTGCAAACGGCGGGACGCCGTGGGGCCCTCCTGTGACCCACCTGGAACTCCAGCCCATAGATCACCGGCGCGTCGTCCTCCATGCTGCGGCCGCTCACACGCCTAAGATCGGTCCCGAGAGCGGGCAAGCCCCCAGCTCAGCGCCCATTCATTCGCTCCCGGCCAAGCGGCGACGAACCGGGCTCTTTCTGGCCCACCCCGGCTCCCGTAGGGCTCACTTCCTGTGTTTTCCTGATGCGTCATCAATACGCTCCTCAGCGACAGCCAATGGCAGCGGCGCCGGGCTCGTGAGCATGCCCTGTTGGCTCCCATCCGGGCTCTCGACTCCGCCGGCTCCGGGAGAGGCGGACCCGGCGGGGAGGAGCTGGGGCGGTGGGCGGGGGACGCGGCGCTCCCGGCCACGCCCAGGTCGTCGCCCCGCCCCCAGGTCGCAGGCGCCACCGCTCAGCCGTCTCCTGCTGGGAGCCCTCCCAGATGCTCTTACCTAGGCTGTGACTCTGGCCCTTGTTATCGTTAGTGCTTTCCCGAGCGCCGGGACAGACGCTGCACACGCACTGTCTTAAAGTTCTTCGCTCCAGCCTTATGACTAAGGGGCCACAGTTGCATTTTACAGAGGAGCGGCTGCAAAATTCAGTAACAATTGAGGGCACAGAGGTAGTAAATTGGGGAGCTAGGATGCGTGCCAGATCTGTCAGACTCAGTTTGGCTCAGCCCAGGATCCTTAAAGTCAAGGGCCGTGCCAATTCCCGTCCGCAGGCGCCCAGCACTGTGTAGCGAAAGGATGCACTGCCAATGCTGGGATGATGATGGATGCCGGGCACCACACTGCTAGCAGTATTTGACTCTGAGTGAGAATCTGCTGTGAAGACCGTGGGTTCCCGGGAGAGCTCCAAGGACTGTCATGATGGAGAGGTTGACCCTCTTAGGCAGTACTCCCAAAGTGCCTGCCTTGACATTAGGCAATGCCCTTGGCAGACAGGAATGACGTTGCATGGAATCCCACAATGCCATAGCTGAACCCCCTGCACTAATCTGGGTTCCACTGGGTTCCAGGACCACACACCTCTCCTCTATCTGTGTGATTATTTAACTTTTCTCTCTACCCTTTACCCATCTTCGTGATAAATGGCAGAGTCTGGAACAGGTATATGAAAAGATGCTCAACATCACTAATCATCAGGGAATGCAAATCAAAACCACAATGAGATATCACCTCATACCTGTTAAGATTGCTATTATCAAAAAGTCAAAAGATAAGTGTTGGCAGGATGTGGAGAAAGGGAATCCTTATATACCATTGGTGGGAATGTAAAGTGGTACAGCTACTATGGAAAACACTATGGAGTTTCCTCAAAAAATTAAAAATAGAACTACATTGGGGCATGCCCGGTGCCACGGTGGTTAAGTGCGCATGCTCTGCAGTGGCGGCCTGGTGTTTGCAGGTTTGGAACCCCGGGCGCACACCGATGCACTGCTTGTCAAGCCATGCTGTGGCAGCATCCTATATAAAGTAGAGGAAGATGGGCACAGATGTTGGCCCAGGGCCAGTCTTCCTCAGCAAAAGGAGGAAGATTGGCATCGGCTATTAGCTCAGGGCTAATATTCCTCCCGGAAAAAAAAAATAAAACTACATTATAATTCAGCAATCCCACCTCTGGGATCCAGAAGAAATAAAATCACTATCTAGAAGAGATATCTGCACCCTCATGTTTACTGCAGCATTATTCACACTAGCAAAGACATGGAAACAACTTGTGTCCATATACAGATGACTGGATAAACAGAATTTATACACACACACGCACACAATGGAATATTATTCCGCCTTAAAAAAAGAAGGAAATCCTGTCATTTCTGAAAACGTGGATGAATGTGGAGGACATTCTGCTAAGGGAAATAAGCCAGACACAGAAAGACAAATACTGCTTGATTCCACATACATGTGGAATCTGAAAAAAAAAAAAAAGGTTGAATTCATTGTAACAGTAGAGTGACGGTTACCAGAGGCTGAGAGATGGGGGAAAAGTGGAGATATTGATCAAAGGATACAAACTTTCAATTATAAGATGAATAAGTTCCGGAAACCTAAGGTACAGCATGTGACTATAGTTAATAATAACTACCCTGTACCTGACACTTGCCAGAGTAGATCTCAAGTGTTCTCACCACACACACACACACACACAAAATGGTAACTGAGTGGAGTGATGGTTATGTTAATTAGTTCGATTGTGGTAATCATTTCAAAATGTGTATATATATCAAAACATCATATCATGCACCTTAAATATATACTATTTTTGTCAAAGATAAATAAAATTTCTTAAATCATTAAAAAAAAGAAGACAGGAATGGTCAAGTCTGGTTTTGCTCAGTTGTATCCCAGCGCCTAGCGCCATGCCAGGCACATATTTAAGGCTGGATGGATATCTGCTGGAGGAATGAGGAGACTTCAGTGATTACAGTGGAAATCTAGGAAGCAGAGGCACTGACATGAGCATCCTATTCACCGGCTCCGTTTGCCCGAGATTAAGTTGCGGAGCTAAGAGAAGGCAGATCTTCATACTTCTGGATTAAACTCACCCACCTATTATTGATCTTATTATTACTACCGTCTTTATCGTTAATGCTAATATTACACAAAGACTACAGATGCATGGCAGGAAAAGCAGAAAGTACATATAGGCACAGAGAAAAGTCTCTAAAAATTAGTATTTCTTGGGTGCTTTGGCCAGGAATAAAAAGAGCCTAACTGTCCCCCTTCCACTTGCCCCTCTGCCACAGGTTTGTTTGTAGCCTCTGGGTGTCAGAATAACTTCCCTCTCGGTTCCCAGGGACGGGGACAGATCCCCGGCCCAGGCCCCGCCCAGGCCCCGCCCACCGCAGCACGAACCGGAAACGCGCTTGGCAGCCGGCTCCGCACTGGGCATGCGCGGGAGTCGGCGCGCAGAGGACGGGCGCGCGCAGGCGCAGAAGCCGCAGAGGGGCGCCGCGTCGGGTCTCTCTGTGCCGGCTTCCTCTACTTTCTCCGCGGACTCTGGTCACGGCAGCAGTGACCCTTTCCCCAACCCCAGTGGGCTGGTGGCAGGTGAGGATCAGGGCCCGGGCTGTAGGGAAGCGGGGGCCGTCCCTAACCGCGGCCCCGCCGGCCTCGGCCCCAGCCCCTCGGGGCCTCCACCCCAGGGGTCTTCTCCCCGGGGGTGGGGGCTCCTCCTCGGGCCGCTCCCCTCGCGGCCCTTCCTGTGGCGCCTCCGCCCGGCAGGCCTCCCGGCCGAGCCCCGACACCTGCGTCCCGCCGGGTCCGCAGGGGGTCTTCTGTGTGTGCCCTGCCCGGGGCGGCGGTCGGCGGACTCACGCCCGCGCGGTGGTCACCGGCCTGGGCGCAGACCAGCACAGGAGGGTCTGCAGTCCAGGCCCCGGCTCCGGCGCTCAGTGACCGGCTGGGCCTGAGCTAGCCCCTTCGCTTTTATTCTGAGTTCACGCTGATGTAGAAAGACGTTCACACCACCGGCCCGACCAGACTGTCGGTATTGTACAAGGCGATGGTTTGTGCAAAAGCCTTTAAGTCCCTATGGAAATGTTGGCTGTTGTTACGCATCCTGATCCCTTACAAAGCAATGTGCAGGACAGAACTGATCGCTGGAGTATATATACACGGGAAGAGTGAAAACATGTCTCACTGTCGACCACAAAAGAGTTTAACCCCAGTGAAACATTTCCTTGGACATACAGTTTCTATCTTTTTTTTTTTTCTTTGCCGAGGAAGATTTGCCCAGAGCTAACATCTGTGCCCATCTTCCTCTGTTTTGTATGTGGGTCACTGCCACAGCATGGCTGCCCAGGAGTGGTGTAGGTCCACGCCTGGAACCCAACCCCAGCCATGGAAGCAGAGTGTGCTGAACTTAACCACCAGGCAGCTGGCGGGCTCCCGTTTCTACCTTTTTGGGGTAGACACCATATCTTTTACGTTGAAATACTTTACTCCTTGCTTGTTTTCATAAATTCAGAAGATAGTATTGAGTGGCAGGCAATGAGCCAGGCCCTCTGTGATGGGATGGTAGAGGGAGAGGGGCATGCAGATAGGATAATATGGTCACAGTATTATTCATTCAGACCTCACATTCTGTGATTTCTACCAGGATCTTCACCATTTCAAGACTGCGTGTTACCATTCTGCTTCATCATTAAGCTTGTAATTACTATGCTTAAATATGTGCAGGTCATCACAGTTTAAAAAGTGCCTGTGTGGGGCCAGCCTGGTGGCATAGTGGTTAAGTTCACGTGCTCTGCTTTGGCGGTTTGGGGTTCACAGGTTCAGATCCCAGGCACAGACCTACACAAGGTTTATGAAGCCATGCTGTGGCAGGCATCCCACATATAAAGTAGAGGAACATGGGCACAGATGTTAGCCCAGGGCCAATCTTCCTCACCAGTGCCTGCGCATCAGTTATTATTTAATCCTCATTATCCCATTTACAGATGAGGAAACCAAGACTAAAAGATTAAGTCATTTTTTCAAGGGTGATGTTGCTTAGTAGTGAAGTTAAGACTCAAGCAGTTTCTCAGAGCCTGCATTCAAGGCTCTTTCTGCCTCCCCTGCTGCTCTGAATCATCATGTGTCCTAGCAACCTACAAGGACAGCAGAGCAGAAAAACCTGTGTTGGGATCCTGTCAAGAGCAAGTATTGGCACTGTGACTTTGGGCAGATCACTTGGTTTCTCTCCTGTATGGCGGAGGTAGTAATACTTTCTAAGTTGGCCCAAGGATTAAATAAGCTAATACATGTAAAATGCTTGATCTGTAGTAGGTGTTCTTTTATAAATATATGCTAATTAGATTTCCACTGCATGGCATAGTACTTTCATGGAAATAGTGTTACATTATTGCAATATGGTAAAAGTTTTATAATTCCAGAGTCTTATGTCCAGAAAGGGAACCTGAACAGCTATAGTTTTAATTGTTCTTAGTGAATTTAAATCACTTAAAGTTAGTACTTAAAAAAATTTTAATACATTAATTAAGCTCATTGTGCAAAGCGCTCACCTGGACAAAGAGAAGGTAAGATTTCTTTGCTAGCATTTTGATGGTTGATAACCTGCTGAAGACAAGGTTGACGTAAGGGAAGCCATATTGTAGGAAAGAAACCCTATTGTAACTTTGAATGACCTCTGACAAAGTAACCCAGCTGGATATGCACCCTCCAGGAGATCTAAGTGC